TTCAGAGCCATCAATGCGTCCACCCTTAATGGCTGCAACTTGTTTGTCACGAACCTGGCCACAAACATCGCAGCCAGGCCTTTCCAAGTCTTCACGCTTTCCTTTGGTAGTTTGTGCAACCAATCTGATGCAATCTCCCCGAAGGATGAAGGGAACACTTTGCAGAGCAACGACTCGTTCCCACTATACAATGCCATTGAGTTCAAATATAATCCAACGTGGAAGTTGGGGTCTGACTTACCATCGTATATTTGGAACCTCGGCATACTGAATCTCTTCGGCGCCTTAAACCTGTCCAATTCCACCAAGAATGGTGTCCTTGGCTTTTCTGGGGAGGTTACCTCGGCGTCTACATTCTGTTGCTTCCTCTTGAGATAATCTTTTAAGTCCTCATTCGTTCTCCCAGGAGCTCGGTTATCTCCTACTTTCAGTCTTTTTGGTGCACTACTTTCAGCTTCGTGGTAAGTCCTTTCCGACCCTTCTCCATGAGTTGTGTCGAAGCACAGTGCCTGCCCCTGAACATGCCGATGTCCTTTAGGGTCTACTTCCTTTGTGCGATGCGTCCTCCGTGATTCTTCTCTTCTTGACTCTCTTCGTTCGACTTCCCTAGAAGGTCGGTGAGAGTATCTTTCGCTCCCGTTGTGCTGAGGGGTTAGAGGGATTGTTTTCTGCCCTCCCTTTTGGGCATTGGCCGCTGGAATCGGTGTGTCCTGCAGCGGAAACGGCGGCTGCATGACGTTATTTTGCATTATGAAATTGACGACCGACTGCAGGTCTGCCAATTTGCTTACCATCTCTTTTACCTCTTCGTCCCTTCGCAGGCACCTATATTTCCATACTTGGAGGTCGTCCTCGTTGTAGTATCCACTTCGATCTGGTTTCTTTGGTGCGTCGCCAGTTTGGCCGACGTCTTTCACTCCGTGATTCTGGTCACAAGTTTCTGCGTTGTATTTGTTTCCTGTGATATCAAGGTCAATAGGTCTTCCACTCCCAGCAGGAGTGTCGTCCCCAATCTTTTCCTTCTGTCCGTTACTGGCCATCTATTCACACATTCCTTTCCCACAGACAGCGCCAAATTGTATGAGTGATTTTCCGATCACACTGCCCAACTTAGTGTTCAGCTGGAGAGAACTGGCAGAATAGATGACACCTGACTGACCTGTAATAGAAAGAGAAGATTCTGGCGGTGGTTCGTCCACCTAGGGGTATTCTGACGATCAAGTCAGTATATCTCTCAAAGATAATCAATAGTGTTAATCTTATTATTCAGAATCTAAATTGCGTACCTTAGAACCACGGGGGTACCTCTCTTTTATAGCTAACTCAATCCTTGTACCAATAGGAGCTTAGCTCTAATGGACTTTAAGATTACTATTAATCTTGGATTCCCAATAGGATTGGGATAAACTCCCGAAGAGTCTTATCCTTTTCTAACTGTAGTCTTCCCCCTTTCTAGGACTCTTGTGCCTTATCTGCTTATCTCAGATTCCGATATCTTCGGAGGTAATCTCGGTCTCGCTAAGATAACCTCGGCGTCATGACCAGGACACGTGGCACCTCGACTGACACGTCGGCGTCACCTTAACCACGTGTTGGTACTCAGAAGATATATCCCTACACTACCCACATACAACAATTCACATTATTGAAAATTATTTAAAAAAAATTCATTTCCAATTGCTCTCTTTGAAAATTGATTATTTTAATTTTTTTTAACTTTTTACAATATATATATATATATAAGTAAAAATAATAATAATATAAAAACTTATAATAATTTTTTTTTTACTTAAAACTATGAAGTGTCACCAAAAATTAAAACGTTGTACTCATTAGGGACGTTGACGTGTATCCGCCACCTTTGAGTGTTTGGACAATAATGACAGAATTAGGCAGTCGTTGGATGTGGGATCACTCATATTAGCACGCTTGAGGGAGAAGTTATTGGTTCTTTAGTAGCGTCACGTGACACTCCTTCACATGTATTGTAATAGTAGAAGGAGTGAGGCTTATTTTGTTGTGTATAATTGAAAAGGGTGGTGTTTGTTTTGAAAGATTGGAATATGAATGGCCTGTTATTTATTAGTCAATTTTTACTCTGGACCAATAGTGTTGGATTGTTGCATTTTATGGGGGTTGAAATAGAAATCATGGGATAACTTATCTCATGGGATTGGCTTATAAAATTATATTTTTAACCCTTTTGTATTTAATATTTTTTTTAGTGTTGTTAATTTAAAATTATATATAATAAAAATATAAATTATAAATTTAATTTAATTAAAAATAATAAATTAAAAATATGGCTTTATAAATTAAATTTTTTTAGTGTTGCTAAAAAAATTAAATTAAATTATTTTTTTAGTGTTGTTAATTTAAAATTATATATTAAATAAAAAATTTAAATTATAAATTATAAATTAAATTTATTAATAAATAATAAATTATAAATTATGGCCTTATAAATTAAATTTTTTTAGTGTTGTTAAATTATAAATTATAGATTACAAATTTAAAATTATATATTAAATAAAAAATATAAATTATAAATTACAAGGGTAAAATAGTTTTTTGAACATTTATCCTTATCCAGTCTAATCAAATATTGAATTCACTAAAAATAGTTTAATCCAGACATCTAATTACATGGCTAAACAAACATAGGATACAAATTTAGTCCAACCAAATAGTCCAGAAATAATGTATCCTAGGACTAATAGTCCGATGGATTACAATCTCCCATTTATAATTCGTCCAAACAAACATGCAGATAGAGGTTTATGATTGATCTGGAGCATGACTACGTGATACCTTAGGACCAACCAATAATTTCACCACTTCATTATCTTTTATTTATTTATTTTTAAACCCGTCACATTTTACAAATGCAAACCTTAGCAAATTAACTTTTCAATAAAACTATTTGATTTAGGAACTAATTTTTGAAGGGAAAAAAACCTATTTGATTTGGCTGTATTTTTTTATTTGAAAGTTGATTTTCAAACAAAATTCATTGGTTCGAACATATTTGATTTGCAAATAAACTTTGGAATTAAAAATTTAAAAATTAAATATAAAAAAAATAATGTGGTGTGTGAAATTTTTCACAATCTTTTTAATTTAAAAAAATAAAATTGTCAAACAAATTTCTCATTTTATTTTTTATTTTGCAAAATAGAAAACAACAAACAAAAACTATACCAAACATGCCCACTTATAACCCTGAGGGCATATTATCCCCTATAAAGCCCAACAAACCATACAGAATATGGTGATAGATTCCTTATTTATCATAAACGAATTGTTCTAGTTGGCCTAACCTTCTTATAACTCTCCTATGAAAAATCATGAATTCAAATCTTAAAGAATAGACCAATGACTAAAGATTCTATAATTTTTTATCATAAAGTTAAGTAGAAATTAGAACGGGAAAGAAAAATATGAGAGAAATAATTTTTTTTTTAAATAGCTTATATTTTATTCACATTTCTATCACAATTTTTTTTAAACTTTTTTTACTTTTTTAAGACTACCCAAATATATTATTCAAATACAGTTTTAATATACGTGTATCATTGGCTTCTTCATGAAAATATCCAAAGTTAAGTGAAGAGATTCAAACCCTAACCTCGTGGTAAAATAGAAGGATTCTTTGGAGTTGGAAAAAGTAGAAATCACGACAAAAGCATTTCAGACCAGTCACTAATCACCACCTACCAAATAACTAAACAGCAAGTTAAGACTTCCATTAAACTCACAAAAGTATCAGATCAATAGAAGTTGCTTGCTCCAACCATAATCCAACAGAATGCTTCAATGCAGCACCTTCAAAACAAGGACCGTAGAACACTCCATACACTCAGGACTTGAAATGCCTCCGGGGCACATCCTCACCCTCCTCCAGTCAAGGATTAAAATGGCCTCACGACAAATACAAACTCTCTCATGAAATCAAACTATTATAGTTTCTATATTGAAAAGGATAATTTATGTCAAGAAATTAAAGATTAGACCAAGATTTTTCCAGATGTATACATTACAAATGATTAAGGTCCTAACCTTTCTCAAGGACAACTATATTTGCAATTTACATTATCATATCGAACACAAACACACAAAAAGAGCAGACTAATAAGGGGGCGATGAAGACTATCACAATTCATGATAAGCGCATATTACAATTTATATTACAAACAACTCCAAAGATTAGTGTACTACCAAAATTAGCCAACTTGTCACTGCTGACAAAAATTTAACAACCCCCCAAATTCATCAATGCAGAATCTTCAAGCTTATTGTAGGTAAACTATTATATTATAGTAAGACTTCATCTAAGGTGAAGACAGGACTTGAATCTTCAGAAATATGACAACTTACAAGTAATTATTATTTGATGAGGGCAACAAGGATTTTAAAAAAAAGAAGAGAGAGAGAGAGAGAGAAGAAAAGCAATCCATGTATTATGCTTGTACAAGGCGGCTAATCCAATAAGATTTATTGCTATGAAAGGTCAATTTATCCATGTCATAATGGTAGGGTGAATTCAGCAGTACGGCATATGGCCTACATCTATAGAATTTTGTCTACCTTTAGCTTTCATATTATGAACATCGTGACATTGATGTTCATTTTTTTCCAATTACTAACGCCAAAGGTCAACCAAACATGTTACTGAAAAAGTGAAATCACACTGCATAGATTGTATGCATTAACTTATATACAAGGACTAAGGAAAAGTAAGAACGAATGACTAATTTGCTAAAGCATACAATAATAAAGAGTTTTTATACCGTAAATCATGAGGGTTCTAAGAAACCATTTGGAGGGAATGGAGAATATCAAATCCAATGAGAAGATCTTTTCCAGGAAGGTCTGATTTAAACATTTTGTACTTGACCAAGTGTCAAATTTTGCTCAATACATTTTTCAAATCTACAAGCAGTGTAACAAATATGCAACATATCAATAAAGTTAAAATACTATTTAACATATGTCTCATATATTTGCTTGGTTTGTTGCCAAATAAAGAGACAGGCAACATACTTAGATGTGATGCAAAGGTGAGAGCAATGAAACAGTAAATATACATTTAAGCGAGTTCAAAATCATTACAGTGCCACGGACAAGCCAAAAAAGATAAAACAACAAAAAGGCCATATGTATAAGAAAAAGCATAAATGAATCCTACCTTAAGCCAACAATTTCTATCATAAGAGCTGTTTATTAGGGCAGCAGGATATGAACATCATGACTGCACGACTTTGTTTTGTTTAACACACACAGGTGCCTTGAATGCTTTGCACTTCCACATTGATGTTGTCCCAACTGAAGGCTCTACAGGAACCAGGGTGATACTGTTTGAAGTGGTTTTCCTTGTGTTCTCCGCAGTCAATGGAGAGCTCTTAGATTTCAGCTCTTCCTTTGGGTTTGATCGATCCCTAAAGGTACAAATGCTTAACGGCAACTTTTTCTGCTTCATTCTTCCCCTCTTTCTACCAATGCTACACGCTTCATCTGATGATTCCAAATTTTTTTCCTTTAAGCGGCTTGTCTCTGCTTCCCCATTATCCATCTTTAACCGATCTAATTTATTGAGTTTTGATACATTTTCATCTACTCTAACTGCATATGCTTCATGGCTGGAACCTTCTGAATTCACCTTTCTTGTTACACCATTCCCATTGCTCATGGAAGGAGTGTTTCTTTCCTGTGCTATACCTCCATTTGAAACCCTAGACTTTTCGGGAGTAGACAACCCTTTCAGTCTCTTATGTTTGTTACCCTTCAATTCAGAAGTTGATGAGTGCTTCGAAATTCTAGGGGAGCTGTTAATGGCTTGATGCAACTTACGGGCTAACTCCTCATCAGTCCTGCAATTCTGAATAGGTTTATGCTTATTGTACAGCGTCTGAACAGGAATATGCTTCTTCATCTTGTTCTTCTTCGAGTATCTTTCTCTGCTGGCTGATGATTCCTCAGAAACAGCAGCAACCAATTCTAAAGCACTCTTGGCTGCAGCAACTGCCTTTGCTGCCATTGCAGCTTTCTCTTCAGCCGCAGCTCTTGCAGCCTCCGCGACTTTAACAGCAGCTGCAGCTGCTGATCTTGAAGCCTCCACAATCTCCTCAGGTGAAAGATTGGGATTATTCAAATGAGATCTCAATAAATTGTTTAGACGGGTATCAAATTCACTAGAAGTAGTGGAAGTCGATGGCTGATGAGAATTGCCATCGAAATTCTGTTTCTTCAATCCGGCAAGAAGCCGCTTTCGAGGAGGCAAAAGGACATCGGAGTTCAAGTGATTAATGTCACACAAGTTAGCTTCCATCGTTCTCTACATGTGTACAACAATCGACTTTGCCTCGATTAACAATCACACTATAAAACAACAATAAAAGTTGACAAGAATTCAATCTTTGGTATGAAATTCCAATCTACACCGATCATCAAAGCTGAATTCGTCACAAATTTTTAAAACCCGTCTCAGATTTCGCGTACTTCATCCAAAAACCAACAATAACTGAATCACTCTCCGAAATTGAATTCAAAAGCATAACAAAAACAAACAAAAAATAACTGAAACGCACAAATGCAATCCCAACAACTTGAATAAAAAAAACAAAGAATTTGATAAGAATTAAGCATAATCTACAAAGTCACGAGCTCGATTCAAGAGAATTATACAAATCTGATTGAGTTTATGTGTTGTCATTGAAATTTATATTTCAGATGATACAAAAAAAAAAATGAAAAAAAAGAGAGCAAGAGTTGAATACAATTGTACAATGAGGAAGGTGAAATACCTGATCTTGTTGGTGTAAGAGAGAGAAAGAGCGAGATAGACGGCGAGTTGAAATTAGGGTTTTCGGAGAGAGAGAAATGGAAGAAAATGGTGTGCAATGAAACAAGAGATAGAGAGAGGTAAAATTGAAGATCATATTATTATTGTTTTGTCAGGAAGAATTTCGATTGGTTCTGATTCGAGAAACCCCAAACTTGAAAACATTTGTGGTAAAGACCCGGCATATACATGATCTCCGCAATTTTACTTTTATTCTAACCATTTTTAACGTGGAAGTCAATTCTACATACACATTAAAAGTCAAAATCAAATTAAAAGTCATAAAATTCTCAAAAAAATAAAAAAGGATCCCAAATATTGTTGAATTCCAAAATCTCGTAAAAATGATTTAAAACGAATACTGCAATTGCTATTAATACTCTATTAATTATTTAAAATTTTTTTATTGTAATAATAATTTTAAATAAAATTATTAAAAAATATATTAATAATTTTGAGACATCTCATCTAATAATTAAGTCTATACACCCAATACATCATGAGTTAGAGTTTATGAGAGTACTTACCTCTATCACTACTCATTCATCTTCTCTAAATCCCACCTTCAAAACCTATTCACCCTTAAAATTTTCAAAATCCTTTGACGGCAATATTCGAACTCTCACGATGACAATCATTTAATTACCGACAATTTTTTGGTAATAACAATGAGTGGAAGTTTTTCTAGCAACCACAATTCAATGAGACGAGAAGAGTACAACAATAAAAACACAAATCAGATTCATAGCTTTGATGATATTTTTTGCTCCTAGGAGATTTGCCTTGTAAGGGAAAGTTTTTTGAAAAAAAATGACAAAATAATAAAAATTATTTGTCATTTTTTCGGGACTGAACTCTCGAACATATGACCGAAATTCAGGAACATAGGCCCGAACATTGTTCATTTGTTCGGAAACAGATAACCAAACATTTTTTATTTGTTCAGGAATAGATAATCAAAATTCGTGGAGATCGCATAATCCAGAAAAGAGGAATTTTAATTTAACAATAAAAAACCATACATTTATTTTCTGAGGTCATAAACAAGTATGTGAAGATGAAGCAGTAATCACCTTTGTGAGTTTTGTTAGGATTTTTAAGAGAAAGGCTTTTTGGGGTGCAGGTAAAGGTGTAAATTTGGCTCGGGCTGGCCTATGTCGATCCTCGCAGACTCTCGCCAAAATTAGAGTTGAGCCGGCTCACAGATTAGAAAATTAGGCCCAGGTCCAGGCCCAGGGGTATTCGGACCTCAGGCAGGCTGGTGGGCCTAGGCTTGGTCTTGGGGTGGGATTAAGTGGGCTTGAACAATGTTTTTTTGTTATTTTTAATTTTTTCTTTCAAAATTTTATTATTTTTCACTAAAAAAGACACTGGGCTTTAGCCGGGTCAGGCCTTGAGTGGACCTTAAGCGGGCCGATAGATAAGGTTACGCGGGCCGGACCAGACTTCAAAATGATGGCTCGTGATCGGACTGGGTCAAGCCTACCCTGGGCCGCCCCCGGGCTGTGGGCCATTTATACATTCCTAGGTGTTGGAGTGTGCATTCAATTGAATAGGTAAAATATTTTTTCAAACATAATTTTGGTATTATTTGAGAGAAAAAAATAAATTTTAAGAGTTTTAAAATTTATAAGTAAATATCCAAAAAAATAGAAGATTTAAAATAATTGATGTGATACTATATCAGCACTCCTTTTTAACTCCAAGTTATACAACTTGTTTGGCCTCGTTTCTTCACATAAACCATGTAAGAGTGTAATTTTGGCCTGGCCCATCTGGGCTCGGGTCGGGCCCATATCGAGGCTTGTGGCCTCATGCCAAAAAATCGGGCCGGCTCGGGCTGGTCCACGAGCCAAAAAACTAGGCCCAGGGATATTCGGGCTATGGGCGGGCCTAAACAAAATTTTATTTTTTTTTAAATTTTTTCTACCAAAATTTTATTATTTTCCATTAAAAATAACACTGGGTCTCGGGTGGCTCGAGCGGGCCGGGCTTTTGGCCGGGCCTTGAGCTGGCCCATGGGCGGCCCAAGCGGGCCGGGCTTCAAAACGATGGCCCAAGGCCTCGGGCTGAGCTTGGGCTCGGGCCTTATCGGGTCGGGCCCATCTCGGGCCGCAGGCTAAAATTACACTCCTAAAACCACGTAATTGCCATCCAATGGTGCTCTTGCTAGCCTGCTGGTGCTAGGGCTAAAATTGAATGTCTAGAATTAATCCGTTACACATTGGATAGCGTCAATGATGTGAGTGAATAAATATAGATATATTTTTTTTAATTCGTCTAAATTTGAACGGATTATAGATGGATGGTCTCTTGATTCAATATGTTCTGTCAATATTCCTGAGAAAATAAATTATGCTTTTATATTTTATGTGTAAATAAAAAAAATTTATTTAATAATTATATTTGTTATTTATGAAATATAAAAGTTGAGATTATTTTTATTATAAAAATGAACAGTAAAAAATTTTGGATGCTAAATAGTAAAGAATCACTGAAAAATAATTCAAAAAACACCCAAAATAATAAAGCCCAACTGACAAATCAATCCCAATCCGCATCCACATGTACAATTTGCTTAATCTGTACCTGCTAACTAAGCAGGCAAATAAAAATTGACTCGCGAGCACCCTTATGTTTAAGTCAGTAAGGCCCATTACCACTTTCAATTTGATTATTTGAATTGTTTATTTTTTAAGTCAACATTTAAATTATTGATGAAAAACTTATATCGATTAAATAATTGTAGCTGTATTAGTTTATGACATTTATTTGTAAAAAAAATTAATGATTAAGATAATTTGAAAACTAAGACTTCGTTGGGAACATATTATTTTAGTAACTTTTTGAATTTTTTGCTAAAATATGAGGTAAAAAAAATTAAATTTGTTTGGAATGACTTTGATTTTTTACGAAAAGATGTGCAAAAAATAGAGAGAAATGGAATCTTTGGCTCTGCTTGGTAGAGTTTTGAAACTTTAATTCCACCATTTAGTTTGCACGTGGTGTTTGTTTACATATTTCAAAAATTAATTCGACACTTACTTTTGAAAACTTTGTCCAGGGTGGGAAAATTTGGGCTAATCGGTCGTTCTCCTAGACGTCCGGCCGGTTGACCAAAACTGTGTATTATTTTTTTTATATACATTTGCCACATGTTATTTTTTAAATAATAAAAAAATTGAAAATTTTTAAATTTTTTTATGAGCTTTGCATAGAATTTTAAGTTGTGTGTTTGGTTATGAGTTGTAAGTTTTTGTATCAAATATCATGTCACATCAAAATTTTTCCACTCAATTCAAAACTCTTTCACCATACAAAATTTTCACACTCAAATCATAATTTAAAAACTCGCAAACTCAAAATACAACTCTATTTTCAAATCATATTTAAAAACTCTACCGAAGGTAACCTTTGACATTTTAGTCCAAGTTATAGGTTTTTTTATTTTTTTAGTAACTTTTTGATTTTTAGACTAAAACACGTACATGCCAAACGAGGCTTAAACATTCATTTTTTGAGAGACAAATTGGATCGACCCTTTTTTATATGAATGATCTACACGTTGTGGTCTAAAAATGAACAATTTATATTATCGATTTGGGACAAGTCGTAAGCCCCATAGACACGAACAACACTGTTCAATCCACTTGTGGATTGGAGAGAAACTATTCACTTTGTTTGGTTCTAATTTTCAAAGAATTTTATTTTTTTATTTTCCATATTTTAATGTTTTTAATGAATTTTTTTAATATTTTAGGTAATTCTTTTTAAATTTTTGGACACACCTAACGTAAATATACTTAAAAATTAGGGTAAATTACATTTACCTCCCCTGAAGTTTCTGACAAATACAGGGACCTCCCCTGTGGTTTGAATAATTACAGTAACCTCCCCTACTTAATTTTCCCAAAATAAATATGGCCATGTTTGTTTGGTGTGGACATGAGCTTGGGATTGACTAATAACTCAATAAAATTATTATCCGATGGTTTTGCTTAAACAATTGAATGACGGACTAATTATTTTAAAACTTGACTATTAGTTAAGATAGGATAAATATCCAACGATTCGTAATCCTAAGACTATTAGTCATGGCGAATGCTAATCAATGTCGCCCAACAAACATGGCCTTACGTGTGTGTGAGGTAGTAGGGTGGGGAGATAGTGGGAGTCCTGGTATCATTATTGTTCTCCAAATTCAAATTTTAAAGTCTTTTGGAAAGTAAGTTTTTTTTATTTTATTTTAAGTTTGAATATGGTTTATTTTTTAAGAATTTTAACATATTATAAAAAGAATTTAATAAAAAAAAAAAAAAAAAAAAAAGTGAACCAAACACTACTTATATCCGTTTGTCAAACAGTCCAGGCTTTGCCAAACCTTACAAAAGTCCATAGGCCGGAGTGTCCTTTTTGAAAGTAAGATTCCAACGGTAAAAAATAATCTGATAATTAATGTATTAAAACGATACTCCCGAATCCCGATAGCATGCCATCGGCCTTGTTTGGTTTTGGCTTTGTAAAAAAAGATTTTGAAAAATTTTTTTTAGAGATTTGTTTTGTTTGTAATTTTTTTTTTTTCAAAAATTCAAAAATCATTTTCTCTTTCTACTCATCAATTAATCACTTTTTCTTTCTCCTCTCTTCTTTTTAATCATTTTTTTCTCTCACATAACAAAGAACTTTGCTCAGCAACCCCGACCGGGAAGCAACTCCAGTGACCCCCAGTGCCCACGCGTCGGCCTGGGTGGCTGAAAAAAAAATAATAATAATTTTTGCTGGCCAAATCACAGCTCGAGCCCACTAGACACCACTGGGGGTCGGCAAGCTTTATTCCATAACCAAAAATATCCAATCATCCAAATCTCCAAAACTATTTTCAAAATTTACAACCAAACAAATATAAAAATTTTAAAACTCTCTCTTCAAAATATTTTTAAAACTTTACCTTCCTAAATCAAAATCAAACCATCGGTCAGCTCGCACCTATAACTTGCAACATGATTTTGAAAATGCCCATTTTTCGAGTACCCATTATTGGAGTTGTTACTAAACCCCTCAAGGTAATTATTTGGTCATGAATGTTGAAATAAATAAATTATTTTATTAAAAGTAATTAAATTCTTATGTTTAATTAATTGTGAAAATAATATAAAATATATATTAACAGATGAAACTCATCTTCAACCATTGTAAGGTAAATAATTATTTCATAAATAAT